TAACCTAACTCTAACCGAAGGCTTTATTCACTTACAATGCGTAGGAGTATACATAATATATACATATATAAGTAATGTATGTATAACGCAATCGGAAAATGGAAATAAGAAGTGTGCGTACGAAAAACGATGATCGCTCCAGGCAAACCGGCGAACCTTTGGTGCAGTAATAAATCAAATTCTAATACATGCTTCACATATAATTTTTGGCGTTGGCATGAAAAATGCCATCTTGCTGACATTTAGCTATGAGTACCCACCATGAGTTTACAATGCCAGGTGTCACTAGCGACAGCGTAAAATGTTTGTATGGGTCAGTATATATCCGTAAGGGAGATACTGAGGCATTGATAGGGTTATCACTGATTTAGTCAGGAATTAAACAAGAAACGTTCGTGGATTTATTCTTATCAATTCGTTCAGTCGGCTCGTGGCGGTGAGACTATGATATCAGATGATTGCATTTAATTCATTTATCGACTTTTCACAGTAATTAGTTCGAAAGAATAATTCATATCCATGTAATCAGGTTTAAATGGGTGTTAACTAACACGCGACGAATTCACATGGAGCGGCGGCGCTCTCTTCCTAACTCTAACTCTCAGAAAAGGCCGTCTTGTCAATGCGCGCTCGATCATAAAGTTTTGACCATCGACTTCGCTCCTTATTTTCATATGGCAAAAGCTGCCAACGACGATCAAGTCATAGGATCACGTTACACGAATTATACAACTAAAAACATTAACGACACCAGCTTCATTCTCTTTGCAATCTCACCCAGATTGAGTTGTCAAAACTGACGTGACATTTGTAAACTAAGAAACGAGAATAGTTAATTCAAATCGTAATTTTTTTTTCTCGTGTAAGTATATAATATCTAAGATATATCTTTCGTAAAGCACATGACTTAACCGCTCACGCGATGCGCTACCCTCACCTACACGGCCTTTAAAGGATAGGACAAACCTACCGCAAAATGGCGGCTATCCGGTTTCGCAAATTAGAAAAACATTCAGTTTAAATACAAGTTTTTTCAAATAAAAATTATTATTCTGCATTGCTAAATAAATACCCTCCGTACTACAACAAAAACATCTCAAATAAAATGCAGTAATACACCGCATATCCTGCACTTAAAAAGCACTAATTAAATTTTTGATGTACTTGGATAAATATGATAATATTCCTTTTGAGTGGTTCTAACGTTTACCATGAAATTACTCGTTAAAGTATAGTTTATAAACATTTATATTCAGGGTAAACTTAAAAAACGCTACTTACGGTATGTTTTCAATAAATAAACACCGAAATCACTTGCCCAAACATTAACACTCACACGATTGTTGTGACGTATTTTTGAAATTATTAATATTTTTTAAATGACAGACCCAGGCATTAAAAACTTTATGGTTTGCTAGAGTAGTTACCGAAATAGCAATTAATATTAGTTCTTTTACCTGTTATAACTTCGATATCCGATAAATCGGTATAAACTCATCACCGGCACCTCTAGGTGTGGTATGCTTCCTGAGACGCATGAATCGCGCAACGCTCTGTGGCGGCATGCGTCCACGGCTACATGTATCGCGTGACCGGGTAAATCTTTTTCTGGTATTTTAAAGTAATAACTGGTTTCGATATATACAAGACGTTACTACTTGTTTATGTACTATTCTTGTTCTTGTGTGTGAGCAATAAAGTGTTTACCTATCTATCTATCTATCTTGTGACTTCTGGGGGTTTGTACAATTTGCAATACAAAATTGTAAAGTATTTTCCGGTATCCGTAGCGACAACTTTCATTGTAAACTCATGGTACAGGTACTACCATTGTTTGGACGGCATTTTTTTACTATATAGTTTGACTGGGCTTGGATTTTATGTAGAGTTTCATAGCGATCATATGAAAAACGTTCGAATAAAAGGGATGATGTAGGTACCAGATTTTAAGTCGACACGTATCAAACTCAAAGTGAAACTCACGTAATCGTTAAATCATAGGTAAGCAAATTTCACTTGAAATCGTCACGTTGATTAAACTCTACTACTTATTGGTAAGGTAGATTTCCCTGAGAAGAATTAGTAAGAAACTCTAGGGCTTAACTCTTTGTAAATAAAGTAAATTTTTATTGGAGAAAGCTACCTTACCCATTTCTGCCACTAAGCAGTAATGTCGACATTGCAACGTTCCGGTTTTGAAGGGTAAGGGTGCTGGTGAAATTACAATCACATGGGACTTGGCTACTTATGTGTCAAGGTAACAGATGCAGTGGCAGTGCCCCTAAGATCTTTACGATTTAAAGCACTGAGTGTCACTGCAACTGTTATTGACAGGCTTGTAATCTTACTATTAGGTACACGACTATTTCAAATATCATAGATCGAAACAATCTGCAAGACGGATCACTACCATGGATATTTATCCATGTATTTATATAATATAATAAACCTTCAGTGCAAAGTTTTTGTTTTACTACATAGTTAAACATCGGAAATGGAAAATTTGAATATCAAACGGAATCTTATTATAGAAACGTGTAATCCATTTCCTCTTAAATTACTTTGTGGCTTTGTAAAAACAATATGAAGAACAACCAGTTTATTTCTACTTCATTCTTTGGAGTACCTACTATAACAAAACATGACAATAAATACATGTTCCCTCTCCCACATTAAACTAAAATAGACTAAAATGGTACTGAAATAAAGTTGTAGTTATCGATTCCATGCATTATTAAATTAAAACGTTTATATCGCCCTTACGTCGCTAATCATTTATTTATTCACAAGCTAGCGACGTCACCGATTACGAAGGAATATTGACATCATTATAGTTCTCTAAACGAATCTGGAAACGAATTTGGACTACTCTCAAATGATCTCATTATCAATGAGAAATCATGGTTACTCACGCGATACCTGTTGATAACAATAGTTGATTTTACAAGATAATAAGCGACTCGGTTACCCATAACAGTTTCAATGCCACCGAAAACTTTCAATCGCAAACATCTGAGAGTCACTGCGCCCGAGATCCTGAGACATAAGTTGACAAATCCTATGTGCCTGTAATTTCACCAGCACTCTTACCTAAAACCGAAACGTAGTAAATGCTCACATTACCGCTTGGCAGCAGAAATAGGTAAGGTGGCAGTATTTCCCTTGACGAACTTATCTTAAGATGTCGATAGGAAATGAAACTATTTTTTCAGATATATCACGCAGCCGTGACCATGGGACATGTAAAGGGCTCGAAACGTTGGTTTGTATGAAAAAAATACACGTGATTTAGACCCAAGAAAATAGTTTCATTTCCCATGTGCAATAATCGCGAAAACCTAAGGACTTGATATATTAAGGTACTTTTAACTGCAATTGAAACATGATATGACAAACTCTATAATGTCAATGTTATTTCTTACGAAGTCAAAGTATTGGTTACAGTGAAAAGCTACACAAAACCATTACCCACACCCAACTAAAAACATCAAAATATTATGTAGTAGAAAAGGACATTAATGTTACTGAAATAAAGTTTTAATTATCCATTCCATGAATTATTAAACCGAAACGTTTGTACTTCCATAATATTGACATCATTTATTCACAAGCTAGCGACGTCATCAATGATGAAGGAATGTTGACATCATTGTTGGTTCCATAAATGAGTTTACGTTATACGATGAAAATCATAAGTGATTACGCAATAGGATAGTTATAATATTACATTCAAGTATTGTGGATTTAAGAATATAATCAATATAAATATAATCAAAAATCTCACTCAAGTTTTAAAATCAGAAGAAGAACGGCGGTACTAAGATCTTACATCTTGGAACCGACTTTGAAATTAGATATATCTTTGACAAACAGTATGTTGTCTGGATACTGCTGTTCGCGAATCTTTGCACTGGAGTCCTGTAGAGTGGGTAGCATCATGTGCGGAGTGTATAATTAATTTTAATTTCCACTATCTACTCATTATTTTATTTTTTTAACCAATCTTTGTTTCTTTTTTCTCAATTTAATCAGTTTGACCTGTAAACCACTTTGGTACTGTAAATACTGTAAGCTTTCAAGTGTTTTCAATAAATAAATAAACGTTTCAGCAGGGGTACGAAAAATATAGTTTAATAGCCGTAGAGGTCTTTGTGACAGCGTCCTGGGAAGTACTGTCACCATAGCAGTAATGTGAGCATTATTGCGTTCCAGTTTTGAAGGTTAGTGTGCTGGTGAAAGAAATTATAGGCACATGGGACTTGTTCACTTGTGTCTCGGAGTGACGGACGCAATGGCACTGCCCCTCAGATCTTTGTGATTTAAAGCTCTGAGTGGCAGTGAAACTGTTATGGTCAGGCGTGTTGCTTACCATCAGCACATCTATTTCGTCTCGTCACTTAGTACAAGAAAAAGAAAATAGCGATAGAAGATGTCAATACATTTATAGTGTCAATAATAATAATATGCTAGGTAGCCACACCAGTTACCTGGTTTCACAACTAGAGAATTCCCTGTACTATGATTAACTAGAATAGAACCAATTTAGAAAAGTTAAATTCCCAAATCGGTCCATAGAGCACAGAAGGGCCACCGAGATCGACAAAACAATTATCTGATTTCATTTTGCGTACACTCAAGAGTAAGTTGACACTTTGGAGCGTTCTCCGGTATTTAGGCTCGAGGTTCAAGGTGTTCAAATTCACAGTGTTATGCGAGAAGTTTTAAGGCTGTGAGATATTCATCAATAGATTCACCACTCTGGTAAAGAATTTGAATTTGGGTCACTGTTGTATTTTGTTTTGTTCCAAAGTGTTCGTTGTTCATTTAATGTACTTGTGCGGTCTGAGACGGCTATTATTTTCAAAACTTGCCTTTATATGAAATAGATCCGTGAAGCTCGCTGGGCGCTATGTAGGTGAACTATATTTTTTAACATCTAGTAGAATTTCTGGAAGACGTAATGAAGATACTCAATTGGGATGAGAGAGGTGTTAACGTCAATGGCCGCCGCATGTCGCATTTACATTTCGCAGATGATCCTCATGGCTGGGAACTCCGCTGATCTCCAGGCTACGCTCCAAGACCCGAACGAGGCTTCACTAGCTATCGGCTTTGAGATGAACAAGTATAAAACCAAGATCATGTCCAACCGTCCGAGCCCATAACCTACCACCATCCTCGTTGGGAACACCCAGCTAGATGTAGTTGACGAGTATATTTATCTTGGACACTGTTTATTTTTTGGCCGAGTTTCCCGAGACAAGGAGATCGCAAGAAGGATTCAGTTGGGAAGAGCCGCCTTCGGAAAACTGGAGGACTTCTTTAAATCTAAAATCTCTCAAAGCCCGAAAACTAAAGTTTATAACCAATGCGTCCTGCCCATACTTACTTACGGCGCCGAGGTGGCCACAAAGGAATACATGCATAAAATCAAAGTAGCACAAAGGACAATGAAGCGCACCATGCTCGGCATTTCCCTCGTCGACCGTATATCCGACGTAGATATAAGACAGCGAACAAGGGTCATAGACGTCGGTATGCGAATCGCGAGCCTAAAATGGAGATGGGCAGGACATGTTGCTAAGCAGGACGACGACCGATGGATCAAAGCAGTCACTGAGTTGTACCCAGTAGGAGCGAGATGTCCTTGAGGTAGACCACCTGTTAGATGGTCGGACGATATCGTCGGGGTGGCCGGAGAAGATGGTGGATGAGACTTGCACAAGACCGATTGTGCTGACGAGCAAAGGTGGGGCTATACGCGGCAGCTGTGTTTACGGGCTGAGATGATGATGATGATAAAAATCCTCCTTACCACTAAACGTTTAAAGTACATTGTCAAATGTTTTGATTAATAAAATTAATTCTTAGTTTATTTTTTCGACTTTACTAGTTGAGGCCATTATAACGTTCAGTGTTAACTGTACCATCGTTGTGGTTATTTTATTTAGTAGGCTATCATGCCATCATCAATTAAATCGGAAATGACACTTCATCACAAATTACAAGATTTAATACAAATCTTTAAGTGAGTCAAGTTTATTACCAACCTCGCCATTCAACGTGATAACAACACTTGATTTGAAAATTTTGTATTTAACATTGTTTTTATTTTCGGTCTCAAGTTTTGTTTAACAAACGATAATAATAACGGCGCGTACTCCAAATCTGAGTGCTCGAAAGGGCACTTACACTGATGTACTACGTGATTTTTGAGAGCACTTGTGAATTTTTAAGAAATCTGCGAGAGAACCAGATGCCTGGAAGGTTTATGACGTTTGTCTTTCTAAATTGGTTTTATTAAAAAAAAGTTACATGTTTCTTTTTTTTACTTTTTTTATTGCGATCCAAGAGACAGTGTCTGAGTGAATTAATTATATGTGCAATTTGTAAATTGAAAATAATTTGAAATTTACTGGGATAATATGGAAAAATATGAATGTGTGTGGTAAGAAATTATTATTTTTTTTGTTGTACATTTTGTTTGTACTTACCCATATTAAATGCCCTCGGAAGGAAAAAGGACACAGCTAATATTTTTAACAAAATTCAGTTATCTATTTACATATTCGGAATCAAGAAATAAAGGCCACTCTAGTTATTTTCTTGTGGAAATATGTCTCAATAATTATTGAATATACGGCAAGTTCAAAGAGCATAATTCCTTCAATAATCAGATATTAACCATAAAAAGTCATATTTGACGTTTATTTAAAAACACTACTATCAAAGGATTTTACTTAGTAATGTACAGAGCTGTGCCCTTATTACGTAGTTAAATTGGACACAAACTGCTTAAAATTATGCCCTTTACTTCTATTCATGAGTCAAGCATTACTAAGTTAAAACAGAAAATTGAAGGTTATTTTAAAAATGGCTGATTATTTTTAAAGTAAGCTGGAGAAAAGTTTCTGTATAAAACATGTTAGTACTTTATTTATGATATAAATATATACTTATAACATAAATAACGTACTTAATATCAAACGTATATTTTAACTATTCTTTTAAAAAAATAAAATTTAAAAAAATTCTTGATAAAAATCAACAAATATTTAAGCAAATTTATATACGAATTCAGAATTTGCTGCTTGTGCCTTTTTTCTTTCTAAGGCAGTAAAGTATTAAAAAATAAAGCATACAACAAACACTTTTTACAACTTTTCACAAAAAGTAACGTATAGTTTTTCTGGATTTGGATTACGAACATCCATGGGAATTATTTCGTTAGCTCTTTCAGGTTACTTTTTAATTTTTTTCATAACAAATATTCTGAAAGTTAAATTATATTATAAGAAATCCGACTTACTGGTACTCTCTTTGCTTCGAATTCGACTATGGACGATGGCGGAGCTGAGCCACCTACCACCCCTTGGTGCGGTACCTTCATGGCAGAAATCGTTATAACGCAACAGCGGGTTCGGCATGAGTTGCTTTCGCTCAATATTCATACGGCAAGTGGCCCAGACGGTATAGCGGTGCTTAAAGTGCTCCGGAGCTGTATCCTGTGTTAACGCGCCTCTACGCGCTCTCCTACTCGCTATCAGAAGTCGCGATCTCGTGGAAGACTGCCTACGTACATTCAGCGCCCAAAAAAGGTGACAGATCAGACTCGTCAAATTACAGGCCTATAGCCATAACCTCCCTTATCTCCAAGATGATGGAGCGTGTAATTAGCGCCCAGCTTTTTAGATACCTAGAAGTTCATGATCTAATCAGCGACCGCCAATATGGCTCCGCCATTGTCGCTCTACTGGTGACCTTTTAGTGTATCTCACACACCGATGGGCCCCTGCCATTGAGAGTCAAGGTGAGGTTTTGGCTGTCAGCCAAGATATGACGAAGACTTTTGACCGTGTCTGGCACCGAAGTCTTCTTTCGAAGTTACCATCATACGGGCTACCCGAGGGGCCATGCAATGGGTTGACAGCATTCTGTCCAACATAAGAGCCGTCGTCGACGGTAGTTGCTCTGACGGTTTGGACATTAACACTGGTGTCCCGCACGGTTCTGTGCTGTGCCCAACGCTGTTTTTGCTGCACATCAATGATATGCTGTCTACTGACGGCATTCACTGTTACGCGGATGACAGCACAATGGACACCTATTACACTGGCCATGCTAAGTCTCCTTGGTATTTTGTAGAGGAGAGCCGTAAACAACTTGTGTCACAAACAGAAAAACCCCGGAGAGGGTTTCTGAGTGGGGACGACTAAACTTAGTCCAGTTTAACCCCACCAAGACACAAGTTTGCGCGTTCACCGCTAAAAGGACTCCATTTGCTGCAAACGTTCACTTCCAGAACAAGCCATTAAATATCTCGGAGGGCATCGGGATCCTTGGTGTCGATATCTCTTGTGACGTACAGTTCCATAGTCACTTAGATGGCAACGTCAAGCTGGCATCCAAAAATCTTGGTGTGCTCAACAGGGTTAAGCGGTATTTCACTTCCGAGCTAAGACTTCTACTTTATAAGTCACAAGTCCATCCCCACATGGAATACTGCTGCCATCTTTGGGCGGGAGCTCCTGGATGCCAGCTTGGCCCTTTGAAGCGGTTCAAAGACGTGCTATGAGCATTGTTGACGATCCTGTGCTTACAGACGATATTGAACCACTGTCTTGGAGGAGAGACTTTGCCTCCTTATGCCTGTTTATCGCTTGTACAATGGCCAATGTTATGAAGAACTGTTTGACATGATGCCAAAAGCAACATTTTATCATCGCAACGCTCGCCACCGGCAGGGAGTCAATTCTCACACTCTCGAACCGAGTCGATCTCGTACTGTACGGTTTCAGAGGAGCTTTCTCCCACGTATATACGTTCTATTAGGTTGTGGAATGAACTCTCTGTCGGGGTTTTCACGGAGGAATACAGCATGTAGTCCTTCAAAAGGGGTTTGAGAACCCTTTAGGACTTCTAAAGGGTCGGCCACGCACTTGTGACGCCTTTGGTGTTGCAGGCGTTCATAGGCGACAGTAACCGCTTTCCATCAGGCGGGCCGTATACTTATTTGCTGCCTACATAATATAAAAAAAATATGTGAACAAACATAGGGTGAGTGTACAAATAATGAAAATTTTAAGAGAAGTGTATCTGAAAATCAGTGCGTTGCTTTTGGGCAACACCCGTAATAAGCTATGGCCTGTTTGGCTTACTGCAGCACTCACAACTTGCTTTTAATTAATTAGTAAATATATGTTGTTTATTACGTATATTTATTTGATTTCATTCCTTTTTGTTATTTTGTTTGTTTTGTGTTTTTTTTTTGTCGTTACTTATTGTTTCCTATTGTGGTGTGTACTTGTGGCATCTATCTAACTATCTATGTTTTTAGAGTCTTAATGTCACGTCGAATATTCATTTATTAATTTTTATGTAAACGTTGTGGCAAATCTGCGATTCGGTGATGGTTCATTGAACTTGAAGCCATTTAAATTCCAGTACTTATACGCTTTAAATAAAAAAAAACATTAAGCCCACGTTTTAAATTGACATGAAAAGCTATTCACGTTCGCTTTCAACAGTGCAACGAGTCGGAAAATAACTTTTTAAAAGGTTTTTGAATGTTTGCTTTGTGTGTGCAACACGGTGACCTTTTTGGGCTAATATTTTTGTTTATATACGTACGATATAAAAACTGCCATTGCTACGGGCCTGTATCACCTCTAAAGTTTAGGTTAAAGTGTACTATGATTGACATACAGGTTACACGACTTCACTGTTAAGCTTAACATTAGTAGCAGTAGAGCTCCTTGTAAAAGAGTTCGTCCAAGGAAGTATTGCTACCTTACTTATTTCTGTCAGCAAGCAGTAAGTTGAGCATCACTGAGTTCAGGTTTTGAAGGGTAAGGGTGCTGGTGAAATTACTGGCACATGGGACTTGTCAACTTATGTTTCAGGGTGACGGACGCAGTGCAGTGCCCCTCAGATCTTTGCGGTTTTAGCCCTGAGTGGCACTGCAACTGTTATGAAAAGACGTGTCGCTTACTACAAGATCCACGACTCGTTCGTCCCGTCACATGGTATCATGAAAAACAAATTTAACCGCGATAATTGAACACTGGCAATCCAATCCAGCGCCTCCTAAACAAGGCAAACGTATTCCATTTGTATTCTATAAATACAACATCAACTTTACAACTTGTAATAAATTGATACAAATGAGAGATACTAAACATTTATTTCAGGGGACGCGATAGTATCACATAAATGAATTTCTCTTTCGAATCGCGTGTCACAACGTACTGTATTGCTTTGAACGATAGTTATAGATTTTATTTGGGTAAACGTTTTCCTTGTTAGTTAAATACGACTTATTATGATTAATAATATAATAAAGTGTAGTCTATTTTAATTATATTATTGTTAATAATAATAACAATAACATACACACAGATACACACACACACACACACAAACACACAAACACCCCCCCCACACACACATATCGACAACCACAAATTACACCCAAACTCTGTGTCCATGGCACCCGCGATACAGGGTTCCCTAGTGCAGGACTATGTTCAGTGTGTGCGTTATTATTTAAAAAAAGCTCTATCTAACTTAAAACATTTAAAAACCACTAAGAAGTATTTTTAAATCTCAATTTTTGAAAGCTTTCTTTATAATCAAAATAGTGGTATCTCAC